TAAAAACTGAAAATTCTACAATAGTACCTTTCTTTAGTGTAAAATGTAGCTGGTTTAGCAGCTTTAAGAACCACTACCTGTTCTCCCATGTTAAGCTACCTTAGGGAATCTGAGCAGGCAGGATCTATTCTGCAGTGTTACTTACATACACAGCTCTATAAATATCAGAACTACAAACTACTCCCCTTCGTTTGCTTTTAATCCTCCTCAACTAAGATATTGCACATCGGTAGTGATTTTTTTTTGTTTGTTTGTTTTAATTATAGGCAGGATGGGATTCACGTAATGGTTTATACTAGGCTATAACTCTGATGGAACTGGCTTAGTTTTAAAAATCACTATTTTAGAGTCTTACAATATAAACAAATGCCTAGGCTTCAAGGCTATTAGTAGCCAGCCTATTTTTCATGCTCAAGTATGAAATAAGAAATGGAGAAGTTAGATCCCCAAAATACCACTCTTATGTCCTTCCCAATTCATTAAACATAACGCTTTTTCTATTTTAAAAAGCTATGTTCTTACTTGGAATATGCTGGAGAAACCCAATATGGATTGTCTTCCGCTGCTTTGGCATGACGCAAAATGGCTTCCCGGGGGTTACTGTCATCAGTCTTGTCCAAAGCAATGTTCTTCACAATGTATGATGACAGAGTGCCCCCATGGGTTCCAACTCGGCCACCACGACCTATTTCAAAAGGAAAAAAAATCAAATTAGAAACTGAACACATCAGAAACTGAACACAAGGCATACTGTGTACACTGCACTTATCTGAGCACAAACTGCAAGAGTTTTTGAGTACCTGCCTGTCAGCTTTCATTATGATAATCAGAACCAAAGAGGCCACCAAACCTCAACTACCCCGTAAGATTTTAAATAGGTAGAGAGTTTTTTTTGTTGTTATGTCCCATTTGCTTAATTTATAGAATGATACCAATGTAGAAAAAAATTACAAATAATTTGTCATGTATTAATAATACATGCCTTAAAAAAATTCCTCCGGCATGAACATTTGAAATTCAACGAATAAAAATAACCAATACCATTAGACGCTATTTTAGTTTTAAACAAACATATCTTAGGGCTTGCCATCTTCCAAGTACCTTATAGATACTTTGCTGGATATTATGAGGAAAACAAACAAGTTGAACACACTGATCCATATTACTTTACTGTACTGTAATTGCCCTAGTAGACAGGAAGTGCCTTAAGGGCAGGGATTTGTTCCCTGCTGACTCTCTAGCAGCTAGAATGGTGCCTGGTACTGAAAAAAAAAAAAGTATGACTTTTTAGGATGATAAAATAAACATAAGAAAAGCCAAATAACACTAAACAATTAATTTCCCAAATCAAGATAAGAAGAAACTAAATACAGCAGGAAATAATTGACTGCCAGAGAATTTGTGTGGCCAGTAACTATTATAGCACTTAGAGGAAGAACACAGAACTTCAGGCTGAGGTGGTCGAGCAGGTCTTTATGAAAGAGATGGATCCAATTTGGGAAAGCTTAAGAGGTAGAGAAGGTTATGTCCAATGAGCAGAATGGGTTAAGTACAAAAATGCAGAAAGAGTCCAGGCGGTATTTGGGGACAGGAGTGAATCGGCAGTCATATCACAAGGTCAGAGTAGAACAGAAGTGAGGTGTAAAGCTACAAAGGTAGGTTAGTGTCAGGTTGTAGAAAATCTTGAATCTCTGAAAATACAACTGGACAGTGGGAAGCTTTGTGAAGGTTCTGGGGCAGTAGCAACGTGAACACTAGAGAAGTTAGAGATGAAAGCTGTGTTTGAGATGAATGGAGGGGGCGTTGGGGAGAAGGAGTGACTTGAGATAAGGTGCTGAGTTAGAAGAGTTCACAATAATTCAGGCAAGAACATTATTTAGGAAGTTTGATTAGGATAGTGGCAGAGAAAATGAAAAAAAATAATTGAGATCAATATGTGAGATATTTTCAATGTCGAAAGAGCAGGCCAAATAGATGCAGGTCCAAAACTCAGGCTCAGATGAATGAACAAGTCCAAAACCACAGGCTTGGGGGCCTAGGACAAACGGAAACCACACAGGTGAAAACAGAAACAGGTACGTGCTGCACTATAGCCAGTGCTGCCTTCCTTTCTTCTGGTACCTATTTCTTAAAAACTCTAAGGACTTTTATTCATTTTATTCTAGTGATACGGGCAGCTCCATTTTATTAACACAAAATTAAATGGATAGCCACTTTGTGCCTTGTGTGAAACCTAATCTAGCCAGGATTCTGGTCAGAGTGCCCAGTGTTATATATTAAGCCAATATTGAGAGCAGTGGTTTTAACACTGGGTTCCAAGGAGCCCCTGAGTGCCACTGAGGTCACCTACAAGGGCTCAAGTTAGAGACTCAGCAGAAAGAGCTCCAGGCTTCCTCCCTACTTCAGCATAGCAGCTACATTTTTATCAGTTTTATGCACTGGGGTTCTGCATCAGATCTTTAAAGTCCTGTGGCTAAAAAACAAAACTTTGAAAACCACTATCTAGTAAAATGTCTCTGAAGACAAAGAAGCATCCAGGCCCAGAAGATCCTCCCAATTCTATATCAGTTACCCGATCCTGTCCCTCAACCGCCTTTGCAGGTCACTAGCTAGATCACAGTCACCTGGGCCTGCTACAGGAGGTTCAGGTTTGTGCGACTTCAGGGGATCCAGCCTGTCCTTCTCCAGCTGTTTCCTTGTACTCCGTTGGCGGGGCTCACGGAACATAGGCAAGGCATGAGCTGCAAGAAGTCACATTTGAAAAATTTCATTATAATAATAACCCTTCCATCCAAAAACAGAGCTAAAGCATGACTAACCGAAAGATGAAATGGAAGTCATAATGACAGCCTTCATCTAATAATAAAAGGCAGTCTTACTGTAACCAATTAGCCAATTTTGTCTGAGACCAGATTCATTGTTCACCTCTCCTGGCAGCTAATGAATGGCACTCAGGAAATACTGTCAGATACTGTCACGGAAACATTGGTGAGGAGCCCCATCTCCTAGACCATGAGTAGCAGTTAAAACTTAATTTCTGTGGTTTTGAAAAGAAACTCTTATTGGGACTGCCTCTTACTTTTTCTTTGAGGACCCAAATGTGAACAATACCAGCAGCTTGCTGTCAGCCCTGAAGTTTCCTCAGATGCCTCATAAACACTGGAATCACTTCACACATTTCTGAAATGTGACCACCTCTCAGGAGGAGTTGACAACACTGAGTAACCGGAAGGGAGAAGCTGAAACTGGGATAAAGGTTGCCGCGCATACAAGGGGTGCCTACATCTCCTGGCGTGGGGACTTGATGGGGCCTTGTCCCTCTTTCTATATGGTGGACAAAACAAGAGAATAAAACCCAGAATGACATTTGTTCAATTGCTGTTGTCCTTTACTCAGTGTCAAAATCAAATTTCAGAGAATAAAAGAGTATACAAAGTTATAAGGGAAACAGTATAATATTCTGCGGGAGAGGGAAAAGGGTAAAGTATTAAATAACTGTCTTTTCCTTGCCCCCAAAAAGTACCAGTACAATTTCTTTCAACCCTTACATGCAGATTAAAATCTCTTTTAAAAGAGAAACTTTTTCCAGGGGACCAGGAGAAGAGAGGTAAAGGCTTACTGGGTATTTATAATATGAATGAAATATCTATCACTCCTCAAAAATTCTTTCAGTATCCCCTCCTACCCTCTACCCCTACTGCCAACTGGGGCCAGACCATGTCACTCACCCATAAAACATGCCTGCCTTGAGTCAGGGAGCTGAAAAACGCAGCCACCCGTCACTCTATCGGGCAACACAACACAACGGTATTTTTAGGAGGGGGAAAAATAGCTTTTCACTTCAAACGACTGGAGGAATTTAAGTAGGCCGCGTGTAATTACATGAGCTAGACTGGTTATGACACCGACTTTAACACTTCTACTCTTGCAAAAAGTGTCATGGGATCTCTTTACTGATCATAAGCTCCAAGGGACTTGGTCTTACATGAGCCCCACCACCAGGGAGAAAACCCAGCAGTACAGCGCCCCCTGGTCTTTATACTAATTCACTGATAAAGTCTACAGGGTCATCTGCTAATGACAATTGCTACTGCATCCGAGATTTCCCTCCTAGCTGTCACCTGTTGCAGGTTTGGGATGGCAGCTCTGAGAACACAGATCTGTCAGATTAATGAAGTTGTGTGACAAATGTGAGAGGAGCCACTCTGCCCTAGGAAGCTTTCTGCTCATACCTCAGGTAGTAAATTTTATATAAATGCCTCTGGACCAGTCTAGCACATGCTCACAGAATTTCAGAGGGAGCTGAAGGGGACCCTTCAGCTAGTCTCCTCACTCTCCTGATGAAGTTCAGTTGTTCAACATCACACTGCCAGCCAGAGGTGGAACTGGACAAACCCAGGCCTCCTGATTCCAAGACCAGCACTCCTTGTTTATTCTTAGAACAGACTGTTATTCTTTAAAAGGCTGCTGTAGTGTAATGCATTACGCTCAAATAAGCTTTTCCCTTTTGGGCTGAAAGTTACATGAAATAACCCTGTCCCTGTGATGAGTCACAGAAGCTAACAGGGTTAGCTGCTACATGACTCGTAGTCCATCCACATGAATGGGAGATTTTGTAATACATGCCTAAACTCTGAGGGCTTTTTCTGTCTCGAAAACCGTGCAATCAATACCACATGAGAGTAGAAGAGAGATGTATGATTGAGACACATGCTAACAACTTACGTGTGATGATGTAGTCCTGGGTTAGAGTCTCGGCTTGTTTCGCCTTCCGCTGGGTTTTAACCACACATAATTTTGCTCCTCTAAAGAGGTAAAAGCAAATTATTTTCTTTATTTGGTCTTAGAAACAGAGAGTCTATGTCAAAAGCATTAGATACTTTCAGGAAATTACTCTGCACATACTCTGTCTAGTGAAGTCTTTGACTTTCTGAGCGATAGCAACAGATGGGGCCTCAGTGACAAGGGATTAAACTTACAGAAAAGCAAGTCTGTCAGTCAGTGGTTGCTACCAAGCACAAGGGCTGGAGGGGTAACAGGGTAACAGGACATAAGCTAAAAAAATCTATAGAAATAACTTAAAAATTTAAGATCTTAAAGAAATATTAATCAAATTAACTAACCATTTCAGCCTACAGGTCCCAGGGTTCAAGTTTTAGTTTATGTTCCAGATGAAAGCAACTTGGGTGGTCTACACCCCAAGTGGCATATGTCCACATCTCAAAATACAAGAGAACAAGTGTCTGGAACTGACTTAGCTTGACAGCATTGCCAAGGGGCTACTGCTCAAGAATTCGTGGGGTTAACAAAAAGTGTACTTAGGACATTTCACCTCTCCTTAGCAATACTGAGCTATCGCTTTCAAGAGAAGCAGATATAAATATGCAAATTTCTTTAAGATTTCAAAGAGAGTGCCTTCTAAATGGGTGGTAACAAATGAGGTTAATCATTTTCTCAAGTGAAAAAGACTCCTTCTCATCCTAATTACATTAGCACTTTCAATTTCTGTGTTAAAAAACAAAATCCTATTTGTTCTTAAATACCATAATATATACTTTATTTTATAGGGCAAGGGTTCCAACCCTAGTCTAGGACACTCTGAAGGAAGAGAGGGCTGTCTGCTTTTATTCAGAGCAAAATTATGGTGAATGAATATTCATTAACAGAGAATGGCTTTCCTTTCCTCAGAAAGGACATAGGACCTTCCAAACAGATTTATATGGGAGCCCAGTGAATTTAATATGTGAATTTTAATACTCGCTAACCAGTGCTTACTCTAAACATTAAATCAATTGTTATACTTTAAGAGAGAGAAACAAAGCCATCCTTTTTTGGGTGGTGACACGGGTCCACCTTTGTGCCAAGGAAAACGGAAATAACTAAGGAACTGATTGAGCTTCTAGTGAAGTTTCAGACCTTTGAAACACATTGGTATACTGAAGTTTGACACTTGGGGTGGGCATGGGGGTTAAGAGGGAAGTTATTTTTGCTGTCCCTTTCTGCTGGCAGAGAATAACCTTGCCAAACATCCAAATCAGTAACCGCTAAAAGCCAAAAAGAAGAAACAAAATGGATAAGCCGTTTCCATTTCCTCTAAGTGGTGAGATCCCTGCTTTGTTAATCCCTTACATGCATCACTGCTAATGCCACTGTCCAGGGTGGTATGCAAAGTGGGCAGTACTTTTTCCCCCTTGCACTCAACATTTCAGCTAAAGAACTGCAAATCCCCAGGAAACTTTCACTTTGAATTCAGTACAGATCAAGGGTGATATCTAAATCCTCTTTAAAGCACAATCCTAGGAGTTTGAGGCTTTACTCTATGCCAGCTGCATTTTCTAAAAGGGTGGATCCCCATCAAAGGGGGAAAAATAAATAAAAGCAGGGGTGAAAAAAGCCCTCCCCCCAGTTGTTGTCATCCATCTAAAACAGGCAATACTTATGAAATACCTCTGACTCTTGTTGGGGTCATAATAGACTTTAGCCAATCCGTTTCCAGTTCCAACCATGATCTGGTTCAGCTTTGGATGCCACAGGCAGCGGACAACACTCTGAAAAGGAAAGACATAGTGGTCAACTAAAGAGGCCAAATAAGGTGGAAAAAAATCTGCTGTTACTGTGATGGCTAGTTTAGTAAATCAACTATCATCCTGATGGTTACCTATAACTTTAAGGACATTTTCTTCTAAACCATGAAGTTGTGCTCCTGAGGTTAAGTTCTGTTCCATCACTTATTATCTGTGTGATACTCTATAAAAGTAAAAAAGATGTTCCCTTCCTGCCATTACCCCCCTTTCCTGACAGCCTTGAAACCACAATGGTTAGACTTCCCAGCTCCATTACCATGAGGCTGGCATCATGGAATGCTGAATGCACATCACTCAGTTACGCTTACCACTGAAGCAGATTTAGATCTCAGTATTTCATGCTTTTACACACATTAAATATGTCCCTCTGGACAGCAGATTGAGGCCAGGTGGTTATTGTTTTTAGTTCACAAAGATCCAAATCTCATAAAGCTTTTTCAGAAAAAACACACATTTGTAGGCATTTAATAATCCCTTCCTATCTCTGAGATAAAACGGCAGGACAATAGCAGAAGTAACACAGAGATAAGAATACAAAGACTTGAGGTTAACCTGAATGCAAAGCTGTTTAAGAAAGAGAAGGTTCACTGGAAGTTATGATCCTCTGAATTCATTACTGGCGAGGAAAATAAGTGGTGCTTTGGGGTCAAAAAGAACCATAAGAACTACAACCTGTTTTTAATTTTTGTCTGCAGTAAGAGGGTAGAGGTGGAAGGGATAGCATGGATAGAATTAAAGAGAAAAAAGATGAAGCTAACATTGGTAAGCGGAAACACCATGTACTCATTCTGATAGAGCAAGGGATGAATAGAAACATTAATTCACCGTTTCTTAACAATCTATCACTTGCCAAACTACGTACAGGGACTAAGGGAAAAACGATATAACTTCTATCTCTTAAATCTACCTTGGGCTTAATTTCTTTGGTTCCTTGTCTCAAATCATCCCACTCTTTTGTTAAACAGATTATCTAGGAATCTCTGAGATCCCTTTTGATAGAAATTCTGACTCCTATCTGACCTGCAAAAAATATGCATATAGTTAAATGGCTACAGATCCTTCTCTGACATTCCAGAAGAACTAAGGAGAAAGCTGAAAAGAGTTTGCAAGACTTCTAATTCATATCTGACAATACTCTACAAAAATAGTTTTTAAGCTACACATTGCTGAAGAGGATTGAGATGTTCCACAAAGAAAATCAAATCAGAGTGGCTGTGTTTTCTCTGTTGGTCGGGAGAAAATTAAGTTAAAAGGGCAGGTTTTCATAATTTTAGGTTTTCTTTCCACAATTTTCCTCTGCTCTCTGGTGCCTGCTACCCAATGTCTGCTAGCAAGTGCTAAAAGATGATAAAAGAGATACAACAGTGAATAAATATAAACAGAAAAACCAGAAAATTATAAATTATATTTAATTTGATAGTTTGGGTTTTTCTGGTTGTTGTTTTGTATATATGTTTGTAAAACATACTTTATAATACATGCGTATAAAAGTCACATTTTCTCCTAATAAAACTGCTCCTGGTTGGTAAGACAGGAATAAGCTCACGGTCTACAAAGCGCAGCCTGACTTCCAGGTACTCCACCACTGAGACTAATTTGAGAACCAAGCCTACACCACTGGAAATTCCCAGATGGTCACAGCCAGGTATATGGAAACATGAGGAGAGTCACAAACATAACTTCATAAAGTCATGTTTATGTAACCCTATCTAGAATAAGTTCATCCGAGCCAAGACTCATCTCTTCAAGTCTTTGCGTAAATGTCATTGCTACTCAGACCACCTAATTTAAAATTGTGCCCCAGAACTCCCCTTTCTCTGTCGCTCTTTTTCTTTTTTAATGGCATGTATCACCTTTTAACAAAATACATAATTTGTTTATTAATGGCACTAATTGTCTGCCTCCCCCACTAGAACATATGTCCCGTGGGCAGAGATCTCAGTCAGTTTTGTTTGGCAATGCATCCCAAGTACCTTGATTAGTGTCTAGTGCTCAACAAATGTTTGCTGAAGGAATGAATTAAAAGCTACAGTTCACTCATGCCTAAATGGATTGCTTTGCTAGGTAGAACTGGAGACAATTTTCAAGTTAAAATCATTATTCTTCCATGTGGAATAATTTGATTTCCTCATATCATTATTATACTCAGGTATCCTACAAATGCAGCAAGGTTAGTTCCCTGCTGATGTGGTCCTAGAGTGAGAATGTGCAGGAACCAGAGATCATGAGAAGACAATAAGAGGGGTTTCAAGGGCTTTCAGAAATCTCAGCCATCCACAAATGGCCCCAGGACTATCTTAAGGACATAGTATTAAAATTATTTCTCTTTCTTGGTTCTCTAGAGGTCTGGCTAAGCAGTCTAAGATTATTTTTTCTCAAATATGTTTTCAAGTGAGCAGGGTGCAGAATTGGAAAAGATCCACAATGTAGGCCTGATAAATTCCAACACACCCAGCCAAATAGGCAGTTTCCAGGGGCAGCAGGTTACTGTTACTCTCTCTCTCTATGGTGAGGGTGTAAATGTTAGAGAGAGGCAAGTGCCCAGGCCAACAGACCAAGGTCCAATTGCTTTCCAGGGAGTTCAAGGGCGGGCACTATGCCTCTATTCCTGTTCACATCCTTTACCCTCCAGATCTCTTAGACACACACACGGCTGGTTAGTATAAGCTCTTAGGGAGAAGCACATTTACCCTCCTTCCACATAGAAGCAGGGAGAGGCAAATAAGACCCCTTGATCTAAACAGTAATTCCAGAGCTCCATCCTCTGTGGCGATGAGTCACCAAAGCAGCCAATGAGAGGCCTGTGAGAAGTCTGACTTAGGCAAAGGATACTTAAGGCTCAATTACCCTAAGACTGGTTATTAATCAAACACTACAGGGATTCTAAAACACGGAATGAAGAAATAGAATTCAAAGTCAAAGGTGGGTGGGCCTTTTTTGTTTATTAATATTTATTGTGTGTGTTTGGCTAACCTTTGTAAACTTTGCAGCTAATGCGGCTCTACACTTTGTCCTGTCAAGGAAATGCATCTTATAGCAGAGCGCTGGCCAGCTGCCAAACCAAACAATCCCTGAGACTGTGGCTGGGCTGGGGAGCAAGCTGAGCTGCCACGCTGCTAACTTGTCAAACATACATACCAGGCTTTGCTTAACAACAATGGGACACGTGCCTGCTAGAAGTCCAAGGAACCATCAGGAGACGGATAAGCTATAAATACTTAGAAAGAGTACAATCACTCAATCAGCCAACCACCCCAAACTTCCTTTATCCTGTTCTTGAAAAGGTGCTTCTTTGGCTGGGGGCCTGATACATTCAGACCTATATATTTAATGAGAAATACAGCAAATAAGGGTAAGGAGAACATCTGAATCAAAGAACCGGAGAAGAACATCAAGACATGAGATCTATAAGGATCAAAGAGAAAGCCCTCACATATCATGAGATTCAAATGGCAGAAGGCCACTGCAATACAAAGAACCGGATTCTGAAATTAGTGTGCATATTTTAATATACTGATTTGCTTAATTAAATTGATAAAGTGTTTTATTCTTACTCTAATGTACTTCGTCTTACCAAAACACATGGGTCCACTAATGGCTTCCCTTAGATGCTGAAGCTAAACTCCATTTCAGCACCAAATTAGGTTTATTCTTTTAAACCAAAGCCCACATTCATTTTAGCTTTACAATTCGGCACAGAATAACCACAAACTGCCCGAAAAGTACTTTGTTTTAGCAGTGGCTACTAAGAGATGGTAACCAGAATAGATCATAAGCAAGATGACAAGAAGGAGTTACAAGACCTTCATGTGCTCAATACAGAGATCTTTCTTCCTTGCCCAGACCAATGAGAAAAGAAGGGGCAGGCTGAAGAAGAAGAAAGCACAGTGTACAACTAGCAGGGTCAAGATTCCAAAATAGGAATTTTGGAATTACCCCTTAGCAAAAGTGAAAAGGCCACAAAAAATTCCCAAATAATTTATTTCTGTGGTTTTTGAGTTTACTTTAAGTGAAATCATATAAGCAAATAACGGGTGGAGGAGGAGAAAACTAAAGAGAGAAATGGATTTACATTTTAGAACATGGTGGGAAGGGAACTATCATATTAAGCATCTGGAACTTTATATTATCTAATGTAATTGAGTCCTCACAATACTGCAAAGTTAGTAATCTCATCCCATCTCACTGAAGAAGAAACTGAGGCTATAGGACGGTGGATAACTTTCCCAAGGTCACCTGTTCATAGAGGTGCTGGATTGGTGGGCAGGTTTCTTCAATTCCATTGTTCATTCCCTTATACTGCACTTAGCCATGCAAAGTCCTATTTTGAAAGATTGGGAGATGGGGGTGAGAGTGGGGGTGGCAAGGAGGGGAGGAGTTTTTAAATCATTTCCAAACCCACCTAACCCAGAAGTAAAAATCTGAACAAGTTTATATTAAAAAGCAGATGGTACTACTAAAATCATAAAAGAAAAAGCCCACTAGTTCCCAGTTCACAAATGTTACTATAAAAGAAATCAATGCCTGCATAATATCTTAGGTGTCTGTACAGTGCATATCTAAACACCACCCTTATTCTACTTTACATGCTAAAAGAAGCCCAACAGTCTTCATAATTTTATACCTTAAGCATGATTATGTTGAAACACCATTTCCTGATCCTCCCCAGCTGCTGACCCACACTGTAAACCAAACTCCATCTGTTTTTTTCACATTTGGTTTTTGTCATATAGTACAAGAATGGATAAGCTAACTCAGCAATTCCTTGGGAGAACAAGCATTTTTCAGAATTTTCAAATAAAAAGCCTGACACCTGCCCATGAAGGAAACTATCACACACATCTGCCCGCTTGTATAGAGGCAGCCTTTGAGTCACAGGACTTTCCAACACATCGGAATGGCGCTGTGTGTGCCCATCTCCAACAATAAGAACACAGATCAAGATGTGAGTCCAAAACAAATAA